TAAGCAATATGTCTTTATCAATGTATAGTATGTATTCATGTATTTCTCTCAAATAGAATAATTTATCTCAAATGTCTAGTCAATGTTCACTACCTTTGTAAGTTTTTATTAGAATGTATATTAATATTAGTCATCATTTCATTTAGAAAATTTCTTTGAACCACAAGATTACTGTGCTTGAACAGACACACTACTGACACTGCGGGCACCAATAATTTAGACAAGCCATATGAAGAAACTTTTCAGAAAGCTGAAACTAAGCCAAAAGTCTTTGATTTGCTCCCTTGAAATAAAAAAAATGCAATTTTCCCTTTCAAATGACTTGTTATCAGCAAATATTTACACTAAGACCTACTGATAACCAAATAGTTTAACTAGTCAAACTTTAAGTGACAATCCCAGCATGATTAGAATCTGTAGATAAGGAAATGAATAAAAGGCATATTGCCTGTATGCTTGTACGCATTTATGTTTGAAAGGATGATGGGTATTCATTCATTCAATAAGCATTTATGGAGTCCCCTAGGTGCCAGACAACTGTGTGCTGGGGATGAAAAAGTGGTAAGACATGGTCCTTTTCCAGGAGATAGCCCCGATCTAATTGACAGTACAAATGTGTAAATAAGTACAGTGCTCTGTGAGAAGTTATGTAACAGAGGTATTAGTATATACAACACGAAAGGGAAGAAAGTGTAACTAATCAGCCTAGAAATAAGGAACAATAGATTTGGACCCTCCACAAGGACCCCAGATGCTGGATTCAGATATGGAATATAGAGGGCTTATATATGAAATAGCAAAAGAAAATAATACAACTATAAAAAAGGCATACATACAGAAAAGAAGCTATAGATTTGGGAAAAATGAGACTTCTAAAACATAAAGTTAAGGTGTTGAAATCTGAAGTGGTATAATCAGAATTATAGAAGAGGAGGATGTTTAGCAACATCGTGACCTCTATCCACTAGATGACAGCAGCGCCCACTCCCCTCAGTTGTGAAAATCAATAGAGTCTCCAGACATTGACAAGTGTCTCTAGCGGACAAAAATCACCCCAGTACAGAGCTACTGCCATAAAGAACACATGAGAAACAACAATCACTGACCTATTTCACTCATGGTTGTGGATACAGCCTCCTAAACAAAATAATAGAGAATTGGCTTTAATAGCAAATAAAATGATGAAACCAGTTAGATTTTTTTCTGAAATGCAATTATATGAAAATAATCACACTAGCAAATGAAAGAAGAAACTTACATCCTTTCAATAGATATACATACATACACATACAAATATACACTTATATTGATATATATATATAGATCTATGTTTATATATATGTGTGTGTGTATGTGTGTGTGTCTGTGTGTGTCTGTGTGTGTATGAACCAGTGGTTCCCAATCATTTTGGCACCAGGGGCCAGTTTTGTGGAAGACAATTTTTCCACAGGCCAGGGGAATGAGGATGGTTTTAGGATGATTCAAGTGCATTACACTTATTTTGCTCTTTATTTCTATTATTATTACATTATGATATGTAATTATTATACAACTCACCATAATGTAGAATCAGTGGGAGCCCTGAGCTTGTTTTCTTGCAACTAGACAGTCCCATCTTGGGGTGATGGGAGACAGTGACAGATTATCAGGCATTAGATTCTTATAAGGAGCATGCAATCTAGATTGCATGTATGCGCAGTTCACAATAGGGTTTGTGCTTCTATGAGACTCCAGTGCCCTGGTTGATAGACAGGAGGTGGAGCTCAGGCAGTAATGCAAGTGATAGGGAAGAACTGTAAATACAGAAGAAGCTTTGCTTGCTCACCTGCTGCTCACCTCCTGCTGTGTGGCCCAGTTTCTAACAGACCATGGACCAGTACTGGTCTCTAGTGGGAGGTTGAGGACCCTTGACAGACACTATGTATATATTTGAATACCCCTCACAGCATCCAGTGGAAGTCATTTTTTTCCCTTCATTTGCTTCTTTAATCTATATCTTATAAGAATCAACCTGCATGTGAATCAGAAAACATTCTTTAGGTTCAGTGCTATGCCTGAAAGAAGAGGATACCAATGAAACTGAGCTAATCAAGAGCCTTCTCCACAAATTTATATGTCTTTAGAGAAAAATTTAAAGAGGAAGATTAGCTAACAATATTGTTTGCAAATGTTTTAATTCTGTCCATTTAAGGACAGATTCTAGATTTATTATTTATTTATTATTGTTTTTTTAGAGACAGGGTCTTACTCTGTTGTCCAGGCTAGAATGCAGTGGTGTGATTACAGCTCATTGCAGCCTTGAACTACGAGGTTCAAGTGATTCACCTGCCTCAGCCTCCCAAAGTGCTGGGATTATAGGTGTGAACCACCATGCCTGGCCTAGATTTATTTAAATAGTACAACAAATGTCCACAAAATGCTGATATCCATATTTTAAAGGGCAATTCAAATAAGTCTAATTCAATTTATATTAATGCAAAGAAAAAGTATTTAATGACTGTTTAATTCAATGGATGTAGCAGTCAGTAAAATGGCCTTTGAAACCAACTGACGTCGACTGTTACCAGCCGGTAAATAAACATGAATGACTCATTACTGCATTCACATGAATGTTCATTTGCAGTGGCTTTAAAATGTACTGGATTTCAAAATGACCTCTATTTGTTTTTATTTAATCATGTACATAAATAAATCTGAGATCATTGTATGTTTAACAGTCAAGCAAGCTGAATCCCTAGCAGTACCATCTCTAGCAAATAGTCATTTAAGGAAATTAAAAGAAGAAAGACTCTAAGATCAATGAGACTGAGTTAAGAGGCTCTTTCCAAGTGAGCTGCTTTACTCCATACCACCATCCCCAATGCTGGGCAAGCAGGAAGTCAATATCACCTAATTATATCAAACTCTGGATTCTTGATTATCAAACTCTTGATTTGTACAAATACTGACCTTAATTGTATTCACTTTGTACAAATGGACTCAGCTAAATGAAACCATGGAAATCATTTCTCTAAATATCTTGTTGCTTATATGAGTGACCATGAGTAACTAATTTCAATTAAAATAGAAGAAAAGTGAAAGTAAATGAACTAGTGGGTACAAAGTCTAAAATGCCTTATTAGCCTAACAGCTATTATAAAAATTATTATTATTACACCTAACAATGGTGAATTGCTGTGCTAGGTACTTCAAATATATCTATAATAATGACAATGATTATATAACATTAATAACACTCAGTCATAGAGAAATAAAAAGCTTGCTGCCTGTCAGGTGAAGGAAGGGTTCATGAGAAACATTATGCTCATAGTACAGACCATGTTCTTTTTAGGGGTCATCATCTCACTTTTACCTTGAACACAATGCAGTCCTTGACTCTTCTTCTGAGATTGAATCAGTACTGGGATCATCATGGCCAAATAATTTTATCCAGAAATAAAGATTATTACATTTGAATGAAAAAAGAGCCTGGGTGAACTTAGGGTTTGCCTTTGTGAATTTATGCTTTTCCAGGCAAAGGACCCTTCTGGGATGAACCCTGTCCCAGGAAAGTCAAGACACAGTTGCCCTTGAACATCTTCTGGCTCTCTACCTGCAGCCCTTCCTATTGCTGCCTGCACACACCTTGCTTGGAGGGAATGATAAAAGGAAAGCAATAAATATTCCTACCTACTCACACCTACAATTTGTCTTGCCTTTGGTAGTCTCAATGAAACCCACAGCCCTAACCTGAGGTGCCTTCAGTGGGGATATTTTTGTTTTGTTTTATCTTACCAACTTATTTGTATATGCCCCATCAGCAATGAGCTTTGTTAAGGAAAAAAAGAGAATGCGATTTTTAAAGATCAACAATAGAACATAATTAGAATAAATGCTTTTCTACTGTCATCTTAAAACACATGAAGAGAGAAACCTGGCTATATAAAATTCTCTGGCATCTTGGTAATCGGCTAGACAGAAAAAAAATCAGAAAGGACAGTTGGAAGGCATGGTAATACTGCTCCTTTTAATCTACTAGCTTCCCTTTCAGAAATTAAGGGAAGAAAGCAATCTCTGACCCCCTTTACAAAATTCCCAATACAGGCAGCAACTATGTTCATAAATAAGAGTACTACTTTTAGTTATCATTTAGCACTACCCTTTATGCTAAGTGCTTTAGATGCATTATCTTATTTAATTCTCACAGCAATATTTATGGTTTAGAAACCACCATTATTCTAAATATTACCAATGAGGGAAGAGTCTTAGCAAAATAAAATAACTTGCCCTGGTAATACAAATACTAAGTGACACAGGTAGGTCTCAAACACATGTTTCGTTGAACCCAGCGCACTTACCCGCATGCTATAATGCCTTAAAACACCCCTTTGTAAGTTTGGGCTTATACTTCAATCTTTGCTTCTAATCAGTGAGCTCCTTCAGGACATAATTTATTTCTCATCAATTTTTATATCTCCCGAGCATGGAATAATGCCTGATACAGAGTAGGAACTCAATGATTGTCAAATGAATAAAATGATGAATTAATAAATAAAGGAAGGAAGGAATTAATTTTAAAAGGAAACAGAAAATTGAGGTTTGTGCAAAAAGCTAATTCTATACCAATAATATGATTCCTGTGGTTAGTTTTTTGCCCCTCCATTTATATTGTAGCAACATATGAGTATTTTATGATAAGCACCATTTTTTTACTTTAGAATTAAATGAAATGCTTTCGAAAATATGTACTTTACCCAGGGATTTAAATGAATGATTGAAATTCCATAATCAGAACATGACACAACCAAACCAGCATATAATCATATGTTTCCCATAATAAGCTACTTGAAGTGTTCTTAGGGTGACAATATTGTAATCCAGACATAAGAGGAAGATCTGTGCTCTTGATGACATTCAACACAGGCACTTCAACTGGCTCTGG